ATTTATTCCATAGGTAAAATAAATTTACACTTGAAAACGTCACATTTAAGCTACTACTCGTTCACTACGCTGACCTCCCTGAGAAGAACGAGCAAGAAACTCTAGGGATTGCTCTTTTCAAATAAACTTAAATGCTATGGAATACACTTTGAATCAAATTTGTGTGGATTCTGGAGCCATGTCGTCTTTCCATACATCTTTATCTAACACGTAGTCTTCAATTTTGTAATATGATTTTTCGATCAAAATATTTTTAATGTAGTTTTTAAACTTAGGAAATGATAAACTTAATATATGCTCCGGAATCTTATTGTAAACACGTATACAGTTCCCCATAAAAGAGTTGTTTACCTTGGTTAAACGAAATCGTGGTACCATGAGTTTGGACTTAGCTCTAAGGTTAATATTATGGATATCTTCTTTCTTATTGAAATTATGTATATTTTTACGGGCATATAAAATATTTGAGTAAATGTACTGTGATGCCACAGTCATGATACCAGTCTCCTTAAACTTTTCTCTGAAAGATACCCGAGAGCCTAGACGGTACACAGAACGAATCGCTCGTTTTTGCAATACAAATATGGTTTGAATATCTGCCGGTTTACCCCACATGAGAATCCCGTAGGACATTATACTATGGAAGTAACTAAAGTAAACTAGTCTAGCAGTACTAACATCGGTAAGCTCACGTATTCTGTGGATTGCGTATGCAGCGGAGCTTAATCTGCTGGCCAGAGACGATATATGTGGAAACCACTGAAGTTTACTATCTAAGGTCACTCCCAAGAAGACTGCTTTATTAACAAGGTCTAACTTTTCTCCGTTTATTTCTATGCTTAATAAGTGGAGTTTAGTGCACGGACACTGAAAATTGCGGCTTTGGAGAAATGCCCATATCTCAAAAAATTATTTTGTCACTTAGCTGGGTATTAGTTAGCGGACGGAAGAAATGTGGAAAATACAAGAAAAATGTAAAAAAAAACATGAATTTTTCGAAATGGAATTTTTTCCATGACGTAACACTAGCAAATGCCCTTATCTCTAGATTGAATGAATGAATGATATTTGTTTGCTTTGATTGCACAACGTGTAGTGATACGCTTTTCTAACTTTACCTGGGATGAATGTTGTTCGCGGTACCGATCTTCGATGCCGGCTATTAGGTATGGAACGCCCAGGGCAGCCGGGTGAGACTTCAAGGAAACCACCACGTCACCACAGTATATGTACCTGCGGAAACGGTCAACATAAGAACAGCCTCGAATGTCAAGACTACGTGGGGCGCACTATAAGTTTCCAGAATGAATAAGAAAAAAATACTATAAATGGTCAGAAGTGAATTTATTGTTTCTCAAAATATTCTCCGTTAGCGTTAATGCACTTTTTCATACGAATAAACCAATTTTGAAAACATTTATGCCGCTCCTCCATGACAATCTCTGAAACATATTTTTTATACTCTTCGACAGCCTCTTCAGGCGATGAAAATCGTTGACCGCGTAACTGGTTCTTAATTTTTGGAAATAAATAAAAGTCACAAGGTGCCAGGTCGGGACTGTACACGCGATGGCTCATAAGGTCAACGTTGTTCACCTTCAAAAATTCATTTGTCTGCCTGGCCGTGTGAGAACTGGCATTATCGTGGTGCAAGATGATACGGCGTTTACGGTTATTTTTACGGAGTTTGTCAATAAGTTCCAACAAACAAATGGTGTACCAATCACTATTCGATAATTCGTTATTAATCGTGTACCAAACACTATTCACGGTACAACGATTCTCCAAAGCAACAGTAGCCACGTGTCCAGTTTTATTAAAAAAGAAGCAATCATCCGTTTAGAGGCACTTTGTACGCGCGCCACTTTGGTTGGTTTCGGCTCATCTCGAAAGACCCATACGCTCGGTTGCTGCTTTGTTTTAGGAACTATGAATCCATGTTTCGTCACCTGTTACTATGTCCCACACCAAATTTGACGCCCCTTCGTTGACGCGATCCGTTTTTTGAGCCTCAGTTAAATTGTGTGGGATCCACCGAGAGCACAGCTTTTTCACACCCAAATGTTTGTGTAGTATTGATTGTATTTGACTGATGCCTATGCCTAAAGATGCCCGAATCTCATGGTATGTCACATGCCTGTCTGTTTTGATCATACGGCGCACAGCATCGATGTTTTGTTGTTCACAGCAGTGGACGGGCGACCATCACGAAATTCGTCACTGAGATTCACACGACCGCGTTTGAATTCTGCTAACCAGCTATAAATAGTCGTCTTGTATGGTGCTTCATCGCCAAAACCAGTTTGAAGCTGAGCGAAGCTCCGCTGAGCTGTTAAATTACACTTAAAAATCATACTACGAAAATTTTCGCGAGTTAAATCCATGGTGATGTAGACAACCAATTTCTAAAATGACGCCTCAATGTAAAAACAAGTGACAGTCAGATGAAACAAACTGTATTCTACAGCCAAAGAGTTCCATTTTCAAATGTTGTCATTACCTTTTAAATATTGTTTATGTAAGTGGCCAGTTCCGGAAACTTATAGTGCGCCCTATGTACTAACTGTAACTCCGCACAATTTCCGAAATAATAATTTTTGAAGTTTTCGGGACATCAGCGACATTTTGAAACTATGGTCAAAAGGAACTCTTTTTATTTATTTAGGATATTTCACAAAGAAAGTATTACACATTAATTAGTGAATCATACTAAGGAACGTCACAGCATGCGATAGCAATAATTTAGGCTGTGTAGGTATTTAGATATGGCGTTATCTAAAGTGACTCATCTTTACTTCGAAAGTAGTTCATATTTTAAATACAAGAAAAGTAATCCACAAATTGAATAAAGGGCGGTATTTGTCACCAATTAAAAAAAATCAGTTCCGATATAAAATATTTTGTTTCTGCGACCGCCGCGGAATGCTCAGAACCAAAAGGTATCTTGTGTATATGACTAACCTACGTCTCCGTATATTCCAAAAATATCTGTATTTATTGTAATAAAGATACAATCTCTAATAATGGAGGGCTGTTCTATTCGTTGGTGTGAGAAAAGCAGCAAATCATCTAATTACAAAACAAACAGAATCACATTTAATAAATAAGTAATTAAATATGTATTTTTTCATTATCGTCCAATATAGCAAAGCTCAAGTTAAATTGGTTGAAGGAAACACGTAACGGTATGGCAGAATAGTTTTCAAGCAAATTAAATGACAGATCTTAGAGGATGGAAAAAAGCTGCCCTAACTATAGAATGAACGTTCATATTTAAATAAAAATTGAACGCTACAAATGGTTGATTTCTTTAGTGTTGTACTATAATCTATCGATTAGTCATTATCGATATGCAAATGTATGGCTTGAATGTTGAGACGGTTATATACTCGATGGGACCAGAATCCTAATTATTGTTATGTTTTCAAATATATTCAGCTTTCATTGCTTTTTTATTGTTAATAAATGGTATTAGAATACACTGAAAAAAAAAGGGATAACCAAAGTGCTTCAATTATTTCATTTTTTACCACAAATTAACTTATTATAGTCACTGTCAAAATTTGTTTGAATTAATAAAAGTGTGCATTTATGTAACAAAACGAAACTTTGTTATATAAAACACTTTCTTTCAGTCTAGGTATGTATGTACTTTGCGCCAACGTCAAAATAAAAGGTTAGGAAAAAAGAAAACAGAAAGGAAAAATGAACAGGATAGCTAAGTTTGGAAGGAGCTAATACATTATAACAAATTATATGATTTAAAATAAATACATAAATTACACGAAATACATACACTTTATATCATGAATTTTATAATAGGTAATAGGATAAAAGAACTGCAAAACACATGGGTAGGCAACGACTTCAATCTATAGACAAGAACATTCACAGCAACTACCTATTCCACTGTTGATAAGTTTATTTTATCAATATATTGTTATTGATAAGGTTATCACTATTGATAGTGCTTTGTTTTCGTGTTGAATTTTGTCAAAGAGTATTGGTACAGTCCTGTGGACAGACGTGACAGTATACATACCTATTGGAAATGAGCTAGCCTGGCAGATAATATTGAATGTTTACCAAAGATATTACCCATAGTTGGCGGATTAACGTGACGCCCCTGTTTAGGTCGCTAATAATTGCACAATACATTCCATTTTGCTTTGCTTTGACCAAGTGGACTTCCAATTTATTCTATCGACTGTCGATTGAACAATATTGGTCACGCTTATGGAATAAATAGCCGAACTTGTTTCATTTGAATCATTCTCGACCCATTATTCATTCAATTACTACTACAAGTTTGTTTGAATTGTCAATTTTTGTAAATTCATACGTACACTGTATTTAGAAGTATTGTTACGGACGGCCGTACGTGTCTGGCCTGTCACAGCAATAATAAGTAATTCAGGAGCTCTGATTGGCCGAGCGGCATCCGCGGCGAATTGACAGGGCCCGTACGGTGTGGGAGACACCGTATCGGTATAAATATAAGGGAAAATTATTGTCATTGTCTTATTCGTAATTCATTTGTAATCATGTTCAGTCGCGTTCGATATTCGATAAGTCAGTTATACATAGAAATAAGTTTTGTGGAAATACAGTCCACCTCCTGAATCAATAAATCAGAAGATTTAAGTTTCAAAGGAGTTTCATTGAAGAAAAGAAGGATACCGAAGACAGTTTCTGGTCCGTTTGAGGCGGATTGGGACAGGGTCACCAACAACTATGTTTACGAAAAATACAAAGAGGAGACATACTTAAAGTTTTTAATTTGAATTCAATATAGATCATCGAATGCAACTATTCTTGTTAAAATGTATACGAATAAAAATTGAACTCGGTACTAGTAGACCAACTGTTAATAATAAGAATAAAGAATAGCGCAACTAGTAATCATTAGAACGTTGTAACATTCACAATTCAGTGCTTTTCGACAAAATTTTATCTTCTTTTACAGTCTATCGATAAAACTATCGACAACAACTACATATCTATTTAAAATTTTATGAAAACTGGCAACCTTACTTAAATCATTTTAATCCGTCTTCAAAAAAGACAGACTATGTAAACAACAACATGGCCAGGGCGCAAATATCGGTTTACACGTCCGCCTTTACGAGTACTTACTCCATTAATCCCTTGAAAACTTTTCCGTCCATGTCAGTGACAAGAATTGGACTTTGCTCGGCCATTGGACCGAACAACATTGCGTCGAACACGGGCGATGCTGAGGCCAATATCGTTTTATGGGCCTGTAAATGAAAATCACGCCAATAGTGAATTTAAGCTGTTTGTTACATAGTAGTACTAGATGGTACCCTCAAAGCGCATTTATACGACACGAATTTCGCCGCAGCAGCCGCGCGGAGACCGAGTACATCTAACTGTCATGGCAAAATACGCTCTATTTGTTTATTTACGTTTAACTTAAATGAGCGTTCCAGCCGCGCGGGCGAGACTGGCTTGTCTTTGGTCTACGCGGCGGCCGAATAATACATAAACTCAAGTGATAAATAATACTTCATTATATTAAATGAACAGATCAAATATTTTAGTAGCAGTAGAGGTCCTTGTGACAGAGTGCCTCCAGGGAAGTACTGCCACCTTACCTATTTCTGCTGCCAATTCCAGTTTTTGAAGGGTAAGGTTGCTGGCGAAATTACATGCACATGGGACTTGTCAACTTATGTCTCAGGGTGACAGGCACAAAGGCAGTGCCCCTCAGATCTTTGCGATTTAAGCTGTAGCGCTGCAACTCTTATTAAAAAAAAGGTACCTAATTATGTAATAAAAATTGTGGTTGGGTCGTGACCACGGCGGGCCTAATTCCGTGTATTAATATGGATGACAACACACCGAGCGTGGGCGCGGGCCAGACGCACCATGTAAGTACACCATCGAGTATATAACCAGAAATAGAGACGAAATGTCATTTAATATGTTTGAAAACTATTCTGCCAAATCATTACGATGATAACTGCGCTCCAATTGGCCAGCCCGAATTCGAAACAATTGACGGGTGTCGGTCGTCAATTGTTTCACTTCAAATCGACCAGTTTAACGTGAGCTTTGCTGTAATGGACGAAAATTGCAAAATTACGTATTTGATATTTAATTACCGACGAAATGTGATTCCGTTTGTTTTGTAATTAGATGTTTTGCTGTTTTCCCATACCACCGAATGAAACAGCCCCCCCATAGTTAAAGATATTATCTCTTATTTCAGTCTCCTAATTGTTGATTTCAGCGCAAACGAGAGTTGAAATTTAAGATTTAAGGCCCATTTGTCTGAAGAGTTACAGGATGGATGGCCTTTATTTCGTGTCTATTTCTGGTTATACTCGTACACTCGACAAAATACACGGAATTAGATACGCCGCGATCGCGACCCGACCCGCACCCGACCCGCTCTGTGTGTTTCACGCTTTAATGTATTTTACCATTGCGTGATTTTTGGCATTCTAAACATTGACTTACAATTATATGGACGTCGGGTCCGCGCTAAAAAGTGTCCGAACTTATAGGGCGTTAAAATCGTATACAGAGCGTCATTCACGCTTTAGTCTTCGTTTGTTCGACTGACAGCGAAGCAAGTAAAATTAGACAGTTTATTTGTAAGTCAATGTAGTACTGCGATGACATTACAATTCAAATTCAACGTTTTAGCTTTTTCATATTCCTTTACATGTCACTACGTTTAAATAGGTTGACTTGGGACATTTTTTTTGTGGTTCTTGTATTAGACCCGTCGTCCATTTATTTGTAAGTCAATGATTCTAAAGCAATGTTTTTAAAAACATCTAAATTCCAAAGTGTGGACTTAAGATCATTTACGTTACCGATATAGTTGTATTGACAGACAAAGTCACTCCTAAAACATCGTTCAAAAAGTTTAATGTATTAAAAAAAACAATGTTACTGATGTTCTTTTTTTTTATAGCGAGCATTATTACAATATATTTTCAGTAACTAGTTCAGTATAAAATCGATAGATGGCGCAACAAGACGACAAAAATATCAGGATTTTCTTTTTAAAATTTTAATAACGTATCACAGAGGTATTGAGGGAGAAATGTACGTTGAACTAAAAAAAGTGATAAAATGATAATACAAATTTGATCTACGCGTCAGAGTACCATAATTGAAGACGTAGAAATAAGAAGTGGTTCCCCTTTGTCTTTGACAATACGTTTCAAACTGAAATATTCTTTATTTTACAGGTAAGCAAATTACACTTGCAATCGTCATATTTATTAAACTCTAGTGTTCACTCGTAAGGCAGATTTCTTGCGAAAAACGAGCAAGAAACTCTAATACTCTTTGTAAATAAAGATTTGTACATTAACCATTTACAATATTTCTTTCAAACAATAAAGATCGAGACAACCTGCAATTACTAGTGTGGCAAAGTAGTTGCTATTTCATGGGTCTACTCGCAAATGATTTAATCTTTATACCGCACTCTAAAGAAAAAAATGGCTTTTGAGACATCAAGCAACAATTTCTTAAGGTAGTTTCTAAAATTAAAAACTATAATCTGTCTTTTTTTAAGATGGAGTAAAATGACATTTGTAGGGTTGCCAGTTTTCATAAAATTTTAAATAGTTATGTAGTTGTTATCGATAGTTTTATCCATAGATTGTGAAAGATGATAAAATTTGCCCTCCATTTCCGCAAATATTACTAATTAAATTATTAGGTACAATTTCACTCGTATTGACTATTTAAATGACAACGACATCAATACATTTGATAATTATGACCGCTACATAAATAATATATCAAGTGTTAGTGCGGCCAGTATCTGTACTCTGAAATGGGGAGAACAATATTCACAAATCCACTTGTGTTAAGCAATGGAACCATGAATATTTGAAAATCGGACTGGACCCACTAGTGGAACCAAGCAGTGGGACCAACAGGCCTAAAGGGATAAAATTTTGCCAAACATTACTGAAATATGAATGTTACGACGTTCTAATTATTACTAATTGTGTTATTGCCTTTTTTATTGTTATTTTGACAGTTGGTTTGATAGTATCTATGTTGAGTTAAAATGAAAAACTTTAAAGTATGTCTCCTCTTTGTATTTTTCATAAACATTTCTAACTACAGTGTACGTACTTACCTATGTATGAACTTACAAAAATTGACAATTCAAATGAACTCGTGCCCAGTAATTGGATGAATAATGGGTCGAGAATGGTTAAAATGAAACAAGTTCGGGTATTTATTGCATAAGCGTGACCAACATTCAGTCGATAGTCGATAGATTATTTTGTCGACTGCAATCACTAGCTGCTCCAAAGCGGGCAATACTTGCGCAATGAACTGTCATTTTACTCCGTTTTTAACCGACTTCAAAAAAAAGGAGGAGGTTCTCAATTCGACTGTATGTTTTTTTTGTATGTATGTTACGCTATAACTCCGGTATTTGTGCACCGATTTCCATGATTCTTTTTTTGTTGGAAAGAGGTACCTCCATAGTGGTCCCATTTAATTTTGAAGAAAATCTTTTATAAATAGCGCCTAAATCTTATTAAAAGGGAAGGACTGTACATTACCATTGCACGATTTGAGGGGTGGGAGGTGGTTGGGGGGAAGCGGGGAGGGGAGGGGACCCTTCGTGCAAAGTTTCAAAGTTAGGACGTTAACAGTTTTCGAGATATTAATTTTTGAAAATTCGAAAAAATTAACCTCCAAAAATCATGTTTTCGCACCAAAGATCGGGGTAAACCCCTCCCCCCGAACCCCTAGCGGGAAAAAAGCCCGCGTGAGTGGGGAGTTAAGGACCCCCTCCCTCTTCCTGTGTTATGTGAGAAACTAAATTTAACCTAAAACCAGGCGAAACCGCAAAATCCTAATTGATGAATACATCAAACAGTAAACAATAACATGGCGTGCTCTTTGCGTTTCGTTATTTTTATGCAACAAAAATAGTTGTTCAAAAATAAACGCTTACATACCAATTATAGTAAATTTCAATGTTAAATTTACAATTGCTTATTGATTTATGCTGTTTAATTCAATACTGCGAAAATATTTTGAAATAACGCAAAAAAATTAACATTTTCGAAAATGTTTCTTTTTTGCGTTATTTAAAAAAAAAAATACTGCAGCAACCAAACGCTGTGCTTTCCTAACCTACAAAACCTGCTTCCTATCATTTATTTTCGAATTTTTAAATAATTTTTATTCTCAAAACTACGAGTTTCCTAAAGCTAATATTTTAGGATTAGACTGCTAACTATGTAATCTATTCACCATATTAATTTCAACTCTCAACTCGTGCGATGGTAATGTACAGTTGAGCCGGTTTTTTTTTGTACTCTGTACTGAGATTATCAAAAAAGACAGACTATAGAAACACATTTCTTACCTTGATAATCCCTTTATCCTGGTTGTCCATACCCACATGGAACTCACAGTCACTTTCTCTGCTTGTTTCCCACAAAACGCATGTTCTCTCTTGTATATTTGACCAAAAGCTGACCGAATGATTTTCCATTGTTTATGTTTAGTTTGCCTTTACCTCGAAATAAATTTACCGATATAAATATATAACTTCTATTGGAAAAGTTTTAATTAATTTATTCCACTATTTGAAAACTAATTATTGTGCATGAAATTAATTTTACGTGATATCACAAACTAATAGGAGATACTACGTAACTTGATACAATATGTAATTATTCAATCACAATCACGCAGCAGATTACTGAGTAGTGAGTGAGTAATTTTATCAAAAATAGTTATCAATGTTGCCAGTACTGAAGACTGAAGTGCGGGGCTATGTTAAGTGTGCGTTATTATTATTATTATAAATATCTTTTTTAAGTTTTATTTTGCGTGAATTATAAAACAATATTGTATAGCTAAAAGCCAATTAGAGAAAAACGCGACTTAAAATGGTTTCACAGCAGCGAACAAAACCTTTTTAATGGCTCCTTAGTTTTCATTGAGTAGCATCAAATTTTGACAGGTGTCAACGTCAAATGTGAAAAATATTGCAAAAAAAATCCGGAAACAAACATAAAAACAATTCAAACAAAAAATAAAAACATTTATTTTTCTGAAAAATATGATTTTTTCAAAATGGAATTTTTCCGTGACCTAACACTAGTTTTATTGAAATCAGTTAACGGAAAGCAGGTGAAATCCAATCTACCGGATTCATCTCCTAATTTGTCACTCTTACAGGTGGAATATTTTCTTCAAATTTGAATGAGACCACTACTGAGGTACCCCCCTTTCCACACAAAAAGAATCATCAAAATCGATACACAAATAAATATTGGATTCCTGATACATTATTTTATTTATCTGAATATGAGAATGATGAATATGATATACTATGATCATGAGCTAAGATTATTTTCTGATCTTTGCAAATATGCAGGTTAATAGATGGCATTGTGTGTTACGAACTAATTTATAAATTAACGCTTCCTGATATCTGCCTATATGGCACTAATCCTAAACAAAATAAAAAGTTAACCGGCACCATTCACAAAATTCTAAGCAATAAGCGCCATCTATTTGTTTTGTTTGGTATCACTAGAAATTAGAGTAACTTTGTTAAATTGCCGCTAGTCAATGTAAAAAAACCACTTACAAAAATAGCTATTTTTTTACTCGTCGCGACATCTGTTGTACCCACAGATACTAAATACCCGACTTTGCTGTCTTGTGTCGGGATTAACAGTCGTCTTGAGTTATTAGTCCATGATATAGATGATAAATTAGAGATACTTCCACCTGACACATTAAAATCCGTATAAATAAGGCGGATCGATAACATACAAACAACACTACTCAACTTATGACTTATATAAACACAACGGTTTAAAGATCAGTGTCACAGAAAACTTAGGGCACTTTCAAATTTAACGCTTGTAAAAGCGATGCAGTTCCGCGGCAGCCGCGCGTCAGCAGCGCTTCAGTTCATTTTTAGTTCACAAAGTGTGTGTGACTGCAAATTTATCACGTGCGTATCACTGGCGCTGCAGCTGCGCTTCTAAATATTGTATGAAAATTAGTAGTGCAGCGCTGCCTAAGTGTCCACTTTGAAGGTTACATCTGGGGTAAAATAATAAAATGGCAACATTAAAAATAAAACATTGCCACATAAACAGTTTGTATCTATTTGTATATTCGATTACGGGATTTCCCTAGGAAATAATAACAATGTTCGGTTAGAATATATGTGTATTGAAATTTTTAACTGTTTTTGAATTGCAATGGTAGCTTAAAAATACCTTTGCCTTCGCAGCAGATTCTGAAAATTGTGCTGCCGTAGACGTACCGTATCAATGGCCGCATTATATTATTTTAATCCAAGGTCATGAAACGAGTTGAAAAAAAATCCACGATAAGATAACTGTCGACATCGAAGATTGTCAAGATTCTCATAATGAATGTTTTGTTTAATATGCGCTTAACATAATAATAAATAAAAGGATGACTAATACTATAAAACAAAATGGAATACCGTGTACTTGTGGTGGCCCAGAAGTTATGGTTAAAACGAATTGTAGGGTTGAGTATTTCCAATCGATTTATTTTTTTAATCATTTATTGTGCAGGAAAACACAAGTGTCATTTATGAAAAAGGAGAACACATACAAAAGGTAGGTACTGCTTATTTCTAAAAGAAATTTCATCCTGCAGACCTAAATATAGGACACATTAATTACAATAGCGGGTACGTGCACACAAAATTATGTAACAAAAAAAAAACAATATAGATGAATTCATATTTCATAATATAATACCTATAAAATGGATGAAACAGTGGATACGTAGTGCTCCTTAGCTCTCATTTTGAAAATAGCTAAGGATTTAGTTTCGTGTAAGTTTACAGTAATGCGAAATGTGTTCCAATAGCCGCTACTCTTTATCAAACTAAGTAACTGCCTCAGTGGCCGAACGGTTACCATGACGGACTGCCATTCAGAGGTCCCAGGTTCGATTTCCGGGCCGGGAGAAATATTTGTGTGGCCTACGTTTATTTCTCTCGTGAGTTTGGGTGTAATTTGTGGTTGTCTATCTGTGTGTCCATGGCACCCGCTATACAGGGTTTTTATGTTGAGTGTGTGCGTTATTATTAAAAAAAAGTCATATGCACCTGAACGACTTGTCAAGATCAAACAAATCTTCTGTAGGACCCAGGTAGGACCTTTATTGCGGGTCAGTTCGCCATTGCGGTAGGACTGTACAATACCAACACGGCACTCGAATTTAATGGTGGAGGGGGAGGGGGAATTTTTATTACCAAAACTACGACTTTCCGTAAGTTAATATTTTAGGATTAGATTAATAACTATGTAGTCTATTCACCATATCAATTTCAACTCTTAACTCGAGTGTTGGTATTGTACAATTGAGCCGTAAAACTGATTGAAAATACTCAACTTTAAAATTTCGTTTCAATCCATTTTTAACAAAAAGTAAACAAATAAGTCACTGACCCGACCATAGACGGTTTAGTGATGGCCAATTGTAACGCCACCTACAAATCGATTAAATAATTGAATGAATCGATTTGTTCAATTGAGTCATACTAGCGGTTTTCCTTTCATAACCTATATAAGCATATTTAAAATTTCAATTTAAATCCTCCTTCAAATCCTTACACTTAGATACCCGTTCGATTGCGATTGAAAGTTCGATTTAGTAATCGTTTACTAAACTTTAATTGATTGAACCGAATGTTTTTTTTTTCGAACAGCACTATGCAACCGTAGGCAAGTCATAGAAGTATAAATGAATAATAACCTCACTTTTGGACTACCATTTTTCAAATGCGATTTTACGATGCTATTCAAATGAATATAGTTAGAAAAGTTCGATTTATTCGAGTGATTGCTTTAGAATTTTAACCAAACAGGTTTGTTTACTTATCAAAGTTTAATTATCAATATTCTGTACAATACAATGCCATCTAGTGGTCGCATACGATACTATTTATTATGTGCCAGGAATCAGTTATTACATATGTATGAATACATATTTCATTAATCTACGATAAAACTATTCTACAATTGGATAATAATAACATGTTTTGGATCTTTATAAATTCGTTGTCCTTTTTCTTCGTAAATCTCATAGCAGGGAAACTAACATAGAAAAAAAAGGTGAGATATGTAATGACGATATGTAAGCTCGGGTGCCGATGTCGCCACTTTTTAGCTTGTGTGCAATTCAAACTTTACGCTCTATTATCTACTACCATAACTTAAAGATTTTGATTGGGTAGGGCTTAAAACGTGAAAACGACATAAAACAATTTTAAAATGTAACACAATTAAACTTACTGTTCAGGACGAAAACGTGTTCGCGCCCAAGTGATTTATTATGTGATTTGTTATTGTTGTACATATTAATTATGTTTAAGTTCTTAATCATGTTGAATTTGGTAAATAAATGAGAGGCAGGCGGGTCTTGCTTGGATTTTTTATAGTTCTCCCATCCCTCTCCTACATTGGTGCTGTTCCGCTGCTACATTGGTGCTGTCCCGCTCGCACGCTTGAAAAGAGGCGAGCGGCATGGCAGGCCAACAATAATATAAAAGACGGAGCATTGGGAGCGGGACGGCATTCCAAATCTGACCGCGATCCAAGCAAGATCAATTAGCTTAAGAAGAATTCTCAACCAGGCATTTTCTCTACAGTCCTAAATAATCCTCATTCAAGTGTGAGTTGTCGAAGGGGCCCACACTTACAGTCACTTGAATAAGAGTTATATTACAATATTTCAGTATTTTTTTCATCCTGGTTCAGCCATTCACCAATAGGTGGCGTTTTAGTAAAAATACTACTAATATATAATAGCTAACTATTACATGTTAGATGGCGCTGAAACTCATTTTTCGTTATACTAAAAACTCACGGAGCGGCTTTCACCCGCGTCTGCCGCGGGACCGCGGCATCTGTAGAATGTAACAGTTAAGTATGTAAAATTAGTAGCACATTTCACGGCGCGTTTTACGCCTGTAGTGGTGACGGTTGTTCGCGGTTGCCGCGGCAGGGTACTAGTAGAAGCGGCAGGACGCGATGACCTGTGCGCTTGGCGGCCGTCGTCGCCCGCACACTTTGGCGGTCGGTTCAGGCGCACGCAGGGTGAGTGCTCTATTAACCGCGCGACTTGCAATTAACTCCCACTAACTTCGCGGTCCGTTCCGCAATCGCAACGGTTTCGTGCCCGCAACCGCGGTAGCTACATGCCCGTACAAACTTGCAGGGTGAGTATTGAAATAAAACCGCTGTCTAGCAGCATCGGCGGGCGCGGATGGAAACCGCTCCGTGAATTGTTAACCTTATTAACCTTAAATTGACGCTACTCAACGAGTGATGTGGTCCTTCCTAATCGATAGTTGGAAACCGTGTGGCTGTTTTTAATATTAAAAAAAATATTCCATTTTTCATACTATATCTACACTGGTACTGGTGTATTATTAAATTAATATATTAAAATAAATTCTTATTATTATTTTCTTAATGGCGCCCACTAGACTTGGACCAGTATCAGTTTTATAAGAACAATATAAAAAATATGGCGATCGTCGCCAGTGACAATTTTCCATTATACGTTACCACGGGTTGCTGACACTGGCACTGTCAATGTCAAGGGTAAACTCGAACCATCAATGAATTTAATAAATTAAATTATGTTGTATTTTTTATTAAGAATTTATGTAATTTTCTATAATTGTTTCTAAATTATTTTGCATGCACAAGTAAAATAAAACCGATTTTATTTTACATATTTTTTAAATGCATTTGCTATGGAAATTGAAACAAAGTCAGAAATAGTAATAAGAAAACCAATTTTTCGATTTTCCTGCAGCTTCAATCCAACCTTCTTTTATTTTGAACTCATTGGAAAAATTTAAAAATTAAAAATACTCTACGTTTAATCTACGAGTATAATGGAATTTAAATATCTAAAACACATAAATTTTTCTTCAAGTAACAGCAACATCCCAATTGACATGAAATTGAAACGGTTGTCCGAAATTGGAGTTGTGTTAAATTTACTCGAAATAAAATGTTTAGTAATAATAATAATAATAATAATAAAATAAAAGAAATCAATTTAACGTGATTGCTTTTCGATATTTTATGGACTTTAATTACAAAAACCATAGTAAGAATTCAAACATTTCAGTAAACATTTATTGTCGATAAACATCAGTCTTCGTAAATGAACATCACTATCTTCTAGAAATTTCTAGACTCAAATGAGTCTAGAAATTTCTATGGAGACAAAAAGAAAACATTGAATAATAATAGAAATAGTTACTAAAAATGCAAACAACCGGTGGAATATTATCTCAATGGTTTTAAAATTTTTGTTTTCACTCCAATTTTTACAAGGTGCATCGCTACAACTTGGCATTTTCACGTTTTACGAGAGATCTTGTATGTACAACGATCGCCATGTCACTGTGGCGATGTTTGTAGGCGTGTCACCTCGATATGGTCATTTTGACCAGATTGACCATATCATTTTGACCATACACACTTTATTTCTACCACTTAAGACTATTAGAACAAATTAGCATAATATTTTGCACAACAAATAAATCTTAAAGTATTTAAGTATTTACACAAATATAACGCAGTATTTTATACAATGAGCAGATTAATACTACTCGTTGAGTACAGCCGTACCGAACAATTAGTTTGAAAAAGATATCGTTTTACTCACTAAGTAGCGTACTTTCGATATCAATTTAAAGGTTTTTGATTCTTCTTATATTTACGGAGTAATCTCCTGGGCATACTTAACGATTACGTCATGTTTAACCTGTATATTTTGTTTGTTGCTTTTGACTTGCCATGTTCCAGAGTTCATTCGTCTAGTGTCGGCGGTAAATTAAGAATGAATCTCTTAAGAGGTATCATAATCATTTATTATTGCAAAAAATGCATTTTCGCTTGCAAGTGCACCAGGAAAATGTATAGAATTCTGATTAGGTTTAGATTTTACGATACAAATCATATATCTTTGTTTTCCTCATGAAATCCCTATCCGAATCTAGAGATTCTAGAAATAAAAGTCCTTTACAAACAAATAAATACAACTTTTGCAAGAAAACAGTACTCGAAAAAATCTGCCTTACTCTACAAATTTAATAAACTTAATAAGTATTACTTTAAAAAAAACGTAAATTGTAATAAAATGACGAAACTGAATCGTTTTTGAATGTACCTTTATAGTCCGTGGAATCAACTATTCTCCAAAACGATACATTTGCACTTTGTTACTTTCTAGATATATGCCTGTGGTAACTCTAATACTCTTATGCGTATTTCACTATTACATGCAAACACACACACTCACTTCTTCATTCATTAATTCATTATACACTTAATCTTAAATCACTGTTAAGTAAAATCAAGTACGCTAGATATTCCTGTGTTTGTAATGTGGAAGAGCGGGACTCCTTTTTTTTTTTTTTTTTTGTTAATCCGGGGGAATCTGCTTACAGATACCCCGGCCCCGCGGGGGCAGAGCCGGGGTTATGTGGGACTGGGCTGAACTCTGAAGGGGAGCAGCCCGACCGCACTAAACCCCCGGAGTGTTCCTCCTCTCCGCTGTAGGTGGGGGTACGGGTACGCTGTTGCATTCGTCCGCGCCCCCACCAGCGGCTGGCCGCGCCCTGCGCAGCCCCTCCTCGAGAAGGGAGACACATCGGTCCCCCGACTCCGAATGTGAGGCTCGCCGAACACCAGACGAGCCTTCCATCCCGGGCATCAACGAACTCCCCCGAGTCCGCTACCCAGGGGCCATGGGGGGCCAGGACAGCATCCACTCAACTGTGAAGTTCAGTGGCTGCTCCCCTAGCCCCCGTGGCGGATCTGATGGCAGGCTCCGCCGCAACACCTAACGCGCTTCCGCGCGGACTCTCCGAAGAGAGTCCCTTGGAGCGCCCACCACGGGCCAACCGCCCACGTTCGGCCGCGGAGGATAGGACGAGCGGCAACGACACACCGACACGTCTCTTCCCCCGCTGCCCCGCCGCCACTGCATCATTGAAAGCGGTGCAGCCCCGCTAGGGTCGCGGAGGACAGGACGAGCGGCAACGACACACCGACACGTCTCTCCCCCCGCGACCCTCCTCCTCGCGCATCCGCGCGGTCCCGCTGGCCACACGAGCCCCGCGCGGAACGCCCTCCTCCTCGGGCCAGCCTAGCACCATCGGCCGGCCCCGTGGGTTACTTTTAGCTTCACCGTGGGATGAAATCGACCACGGCTACTAGAGCCCCCCCGCCACGACAAGGCGGGAACCCCTTCGGGGGGAGCGGGACTCCTAGCACGAGTATATATTTACTTATAAGGAGTTTCTAACTCTGAATTGTAAACTAGGCCTCAGTTAAAGTAAATGAACATTTTTATTATATTTATAATTATACTTATATTTTATAATATAATCATATTATAATTTTCACATATTAAACATATTATAATCATATTATTAAAATTAAAAAAGTTCTTTGAGTATAATAAAGTTGAGATTAATGTGGTTTTTGAACGAAAATTTTCAAACGACTACTCGGTCCTAAGTTAGTGTTGCCAAATGGTTACATTTTTTATATTTTTCGTAACTTTTAATGCTCTCGCGTAACATGACGTAACTTTAACTTTTGAGAACTAAACTCCTAAATAATTTACAAACGCACATATATTAGGCAATAAAGCAACTTAATCATGGCGCAAACAAAATTAAATCTACTAGTCACTAGTCAAAGCTAGATTTTTCTTGAGCATACTTACTTCGTAGTTTGATTTTTGTTTCTTGAGTAATGTTTTTAACGAAACAACATTATGCTTGACAAAGTGATCTTAACGCGTATGTAGTAGAAGCAATACTTTGTTTTTATTAAAGAAAAGGAAATGTAACTTTTCCAGCTCAAATGTAACTTTCAATGTGATAAATCGTCGGCTAACTTCAGAAATAATTTTATAATACCTATGTCAATCCTTTCGTCAATCTATGACTGTGCCTTTATTTTATAACAATATTAAAGTGTAATCATTTTAATAACACCTGTTGTCTAGAAATTATACTTTATACTTTGATTGTTGGATATTGCGCTTAAAGAACAAAAAAGAGATAGTGGCCAAAAAACAGACTTACAAGGTTTTCAAAGTCGACGAAATATAATTTTCAATTTAATAACTTTGGCAACACTGCCGTAAAAATGTCATAATATGTTGTACAGACTGCGGCATGTCTTGTCTTGTTTTACGTTTACGATTTCATTAAACTCTATCGTATGACAACAAAAATCAATAGGCCAAAGTGTAAAACGCAGCGCGTTGTCCACTGTACCTACAGTATTTATTGACGTTTCGCAGTGTAGTTTGTCGACGAATGAAAAACATCGAAAATTAGTTTTTTCCTCTAAATTAACACGTCAGTTTTCAACATATGTAGATAAATGTGCCTGGATTGTGTTTAAAATGGTTAAGCAAAGAAAAACTGTTACTTTGCAACATAAACTTGGAAATAACAATGAGTCGAGTAGTAGTTCGGCAAGTAGTGAGGTATCGACATCGATGAAGACTTTTAAGCTAGTTTCTAAATGGAAAACTATGTTAGGTTTTATCTTCCTAGGCATAGCTGTCTATGTAGGTATCCTGGGATACCTGGAAACTAGGGTAAATACTCCATTCGATGACGAAAAGGTAAGCACACGTAACGACATGTTTCTATCTTTTCTTGATGTTTTTACGTAGATTTTTGTATAAGAAATTGTATTTTACACTAATTAGAAAGTTATGAATGTCCAAACTCCTACTTATAACTCGAATTAAGCATGAAATTATGAAAAAAATTGACCAAGTTAAGAAAACATGTGTTACTATGTAAATATGTTGCCGGCACGTTGCGACTTTTGATTGGTTGAACCAATTAATATGAAAAATAAAGTTTGTTTACATATACTGTTTGGATCTGCCTGAGATCAGCCCCATATCATTCTGCATTAGTTTTGACCATAGTGACCTTTCCTACCAACCCTTGGGGTATACGAGAAGGGCACTATGACCTGTGCGCGCACAGGAAACTTTTAAAGTTCAGGTTCTGACCCCAGATCTGCCAGTGTACAGGGTTGTCACAGACCTCTGTCACTTGACTTCATACGGTTCTTCGAGAGGCTAGGGCCTCGAATGAGTCGTCCCGGGTGCACGTACAGTACCCTCCCTATTTTCCAGATAGGTACTGGAGCTGTAAGCACGCTCACTTCCCACTGTGCATTGCACAACTAGCGGTTGCCACCGCTAAGCCATCAACTCTTAAGTCCAGTACCAAATCTCCACATTGGTGACGGAGCTGTAAGGCACCGCGAAAAAGACATTTGTTTCCAATAACCTAAATGGCCTGAGGGCCCACATGATATCTAGGCTTTCGGACGGGTTTGTCGGGCAGGCTCGTGTTTGCGTGCTTGTGTGCGTGTGTGCCTGCGTGCGTGTGTGTGTTCTTGTGTGTTTCAATGTCAGAGAGTGGATTTTAAAGAACACAATTCAATATAAACTCATTTGTACTGTTTGTTTCTATTATTATTTGTTTTTAATTATTTTGTTCAGGTGGTCCAGGAGAGTGGCTTACAAGTCCCGGAACGTTATTGGGGTACCTACCGCCCAGGAGTTTACATGGGGATGAAGAGTCGAGATCCTCGGTCACCTTTATTCGGTCTAATGTGGTACCAAGTTGGCTCTAGTAAGGGTATCCGGTAAGTTGTTTTACACCTCATTGCTCTCTTATAGTCATACAACACTTGTTCCGGGACAAACATAATGCTCCATTTAAAGTTATTACCTAACTAACACTACTACACTTTTTAAGAGCCAGGCTCAGAAGTCGTAGTTAAATCATCTTTATTCTATTAAAATCTAGTTGCAATGGTAGTTGAGTCTCAGTGGAATAAGTAAGTGTTGGCATATTCATAATACAACTACCTAACGATATCGATGCTGCGTTACTAAAGCTACCATGGAAATTACTAAACATAATCTCGTTTAAACAGCAATTTAGTCTTCAAATTAAACATATATAACTAAACATTATTGCCATTGAAGAGCGGAACACCAAAACATTGCAATGGACGTTGAATAGTAACTACAACTACTAGCACTGACAAGCCAGTACTCTTTGCTTTTAGCAGAATACCAAATGTACGGACAACAACACATCAGACTACAGATTTTTATTCAACAATCCCCTACAGTGCAACAGAACAAGATACGTCAATGTGTAGCTTGACTATTCTGGCGTGTGTACAAAATCCTATACATACAACTGAGATGGTTTCAATTTAGCAGATCAGCAGCTAGATTTTGATTGCCTCACCCAATCGGAAACTGCGTCTCTTCTGAGTCGAGGCCCATAATTCTCGTTCGATCAATCAATCAATCGGAAACTTTTGACATTTGAAATCGGAACATTAGTTGATTTAACTCACAAATTAGAAAGATATAGTAGGAATCAGGTTCATCTTCTCGCTCGGAAACCCATCTGATTTCGAGACTCGGATGGGCGACTCGATCGGTTTGATTCCGACTTGAATTAAAGTCAGCCTGCTGGGATCCAGTATCCTCAGGGCATACTCGGTGGTTGAATCATCGATCGGAGCAACATCGATAAATAGTGATTGAATGAATGAATGCCATCACTGTCATTCTGTTGGAATTCAAATGCCATTGCAACTAGATTTTAGCATTATAATCTCAGTGGAGTATTTTATAGATTTTTTTTATGTATAAAAAATAAGCGCACACTCCATCTCACCTGATGGAAAGTGATGGTGAGGTCGACGATGTAGCATGCACATCTAAATAATGCCTATTCACTCTCACCTTGAAAAGATCCAAGTTATAGTGTTCGAGGAACAAGTCCGCAGGCAGGGAATTCCACTCTCTAGCCGCTCGCCATGTAAATGTGGAAGCGAAACGCTTGGTGGGAATCCTGGGAATATCCACGACATAGGGGTGGAATCCCATCCCACGTCTAGTCCCCCTATGATGGAAAGGGGAAGGCGGAATCAAATTATGCAATTCCATCGCACACTCTCCGTGATATATCCCGTAGAATACCGATAAGCAGGCAACTTTACGGCGGTGTTCAAGGCTCTACAGCTTCGCCTCTATTAATTTCGAGTCACCTATAAGCCTCTCGACACGCTTGTCTATTAAACCCAAGGTGGCCAGTTGGTATTTAGCAGAGCCATCCCACAAGTGGCAGCAGTAGTCCATACACGACCGGACTTGTGCTTGGAGTTATAATAACCAGTAATTTCAAGATAATTATAACTTTCTTGCTTAGATAGTGCTGACATGTAGAGATAATGAATGAAAGAAGATTGACGAAACAGATTTATAAGGCGAGCGCGAGCTAGTGAGTTGTATGGGCTGACTATGGCAAACTTACTATGACCAAATTGAGGCTATCCTAAAGAAGGGGCAGGTCAAGAGCATCCTTAACCGACGAGCGTGTATGAAAGCATTGATGAGTGTTGATGAGGCGAAAGATGTGTGTCAGGACCGTAGCAAGCGGAAGACTGTTGTCTCTGCCTACCCAGAAGGGAAAAAGGCATAAAGTATATGTATTATAACTTTTTTATGTCCAAAAAAAAACCGACCTCAAAAGTTCCTGGAATTTCATCTATTTGCCAAATTTTATTGCACCCTTAGAGGTGAAATATTTTCTTCAAATTTAAATGGGACCAATACTGAGGTACCCTTTTTCGAACCAAAAAGGAATTGTCAAAATCGGTTCACAGAAATCGGAGTATCGCGTAACATACACACGAAAAAAGATAAAAGTTGAATTGAGAAACTCCACTTTTTTGAAAGTCGGTTAAAAACATCAGCTAAATTTACGAACAATTATTATTATACATAATATATTTATTGTAAAAATATCACTGTCACAGACATTGGTGCGACCAGAACGACAATCTGCCCTCGTACGGATGGCTCCGACACGACGGTGTTACATTTGGAGAACAGAAAATCGAGGATCCCCCTCACACTATTGTCACTTCGTTCGTGAAGACACCAGGAGGTGAACATGGGGGTCATTGGACTGTCCGTGTCAATGTTACTGCTAAGGTATGTATTCTTATATCCTGGTACTTTTAATATATCTCTAGACATTAAGTATAGTTAAAACCGCGTTATGGCATAGTAATAAGACAAGGTGTAACTGTAAAGAAACATAACATAGCATGGCTTTAAGAAACGAAAGCAAACTTTATACTGCTTCAATATGATCGACTTTTTCTTTACAGAATTCGGTAAACAACCCACATTTTCCACACCACTCGTAGGCGTTAATCGGTCGTCGTCTTTCAGCTATTGACCGCTAGATAGCGGCACATTAAATTAAAAAATCGAAACGTCGTAACTCTTAATAGGTATTGCACTTTCAACGATATGCCAACTGGATAAAGTTTAAAATATATTAAAAGTCCAGAATTTGTTACATCTTGAAAGTACGACCAATCATTATCAAGATTTCATAGGCTTAACACGATAGTGTGTTTTTTTATATATTATCAAGTGACGGCACGGACAAGTCGTGAGCCTGATGGTTACACGCCTGTCCATAACATTTGCATTGCCACTCAGAACTTTAAATCGCAAAGATTTGAGGGGCACTGCCACTGCGCCCGTCACCCTGAGACATAAGTTGACAAGTCTCATGTGCCTGTAATTTCACCACCACCCTTATCCTTCAAAACCGGAACACAATAATGCTGCCATTACAGCTTGGCGGCAGAAATAGGTAAGGTGGCAGTACTATCCTGGACGAACTCTTTCACACAGAGCTTACTGCTACTAACCAACGAGCCAATTCGCAATGCTTTTAAAAAAACCAACATACCATCTGCATTTGACAAAGGCTATTTCAACATTGCACGAGAATGCTGTGACGAATATCTTTTTTTTTTTCAAATTATGACGTTTATTTTGATTTTTGACGCTGATCAATAGATGGTACCAAGCAAACCCGCGATGCGATGTTAATAATACTTGAAACAATCAATAGATGGCAGCTATTACATTTTTGTCAAGTTTATTCCTCTTGTTCAGGCGTTGAATATATATACAAAAACTTATAATAAAGTCGCAAAGAGTTTGTACTTTTAATATTTTAAAGTAAAATAAGTGCTAAAACCTTACTTAGTTCCGGGAATAAATTCAAAGTAATAAATTCAATTGAATGCCATCTATACCATTTATTGCAAACTAACAAATCAAAAAGTATACCTGTAGTTATAATTAGTATATTGAAAAACCTGGTATCTTGCCAATGACAGTTTACCGTTTTAACCATTATCATAATTGTAAATTAATTGAACATTCCTAAAATGTTTGCATTTTCAAAATATTTTGTACTTCTTTTTTTATCAACCCAAGCGACGGACAAGTTGTGGTCATAAGCGACACGTCTGTCCATAACATTGCCACTCAGAGGGGGATAAGTATTTGTATGGCCTACATTTATTTATCTCGTGATTCTGTGTAATTTGTGGTTGTCTATGTGTGTGTCCACGGCACCCGCGATACAGGGAGCTATGACGAGTATGAAAAAGAGGATATGGATAAATAGCACACGTTTGAGAAGAATATGCCATCTGTAAATTTCTTTATTTTTCCTACAGGGCACAACCGCCCCCTTATCTTTGATCTGGTACGGGGCGCTAGACGAGACCTTGGGTCCCGCGTCGCCCCACTCACGCCTCTGGCTCCAACGGGGCGCCATTATGGGTCACACTCCGCAGTTGCAGCATTTTAAACTCAATCTCGTCACTTATCTGGGTAAGAATGTCGTGTCACTTGCTATTATAAATATATGCTATGTTTCAGATCTTTCTTTTGGTTTTTTTAAACACGTTCATCGCCGTTGTGGGTCAAAATAACCGGCATCTCAGCATAGTACACTGTACACATAAGTGTTCTATTCTGGATACACTTATCAGATCGAATATTGCTTAATATCACCGAAGTATTAATTGTCTTATTGGAATTCAGTAAGATTCCTACTATTGTATCGATACGGTGTCTCCCACACCGTACCGGCCTTATCAATGCGCCGCGGGCTACCCCGGCTAATCAAGACAGTCCGTAACATTAGAGCTAACTGGTTTATGACCAATAAATACCATCTGAATCAGATGCGATCTTGAGATCTGTAAAGAGCCCGCAACGAAAATACAAAATGGTTTATTATAGTTGTGGAATTTCAGGTAAAATTCTTCATAAATCTTCATCAGAAGCTCATGCACCAGGAGTCCATCTCCTGAAAGAGAAGTTGTATTCTCTGCTGAGAGTAGAAAAGCATCGTGATTTCGGGCAACTGCCCGTTTTGGGGGAGGATGACGAACTCAATGATGAGGTGAGTGCTGGTACCCCTTTGTTAGCAAAAGCTGAATAATCGGTTATTTGATTTGAAATACTTATTGCTACTTGCAATAACTATCAGATTCAAATTTAGGCATAATCAGTAAAAAAAATGGCAACAATAAAATATATTGGTGGGATTCTTATAAAATAAAGATGGAAGATGGATTTGAATTAACGGGCGCAACGTTACTTTCCTGAAAAGGTATGATTAACAAATAAAAATGTGCCATTGGAACATACAGGCTGTTTAATTTTTTTGTATTTTTAGGACGCTATACACCTTTCAAGAAATAAATATTTATTCACGTGTTATTTTTTTCAGGATAAAGACGTGAATTTCTTACCTATACAAATGTTAATACAACCTCCTTTCATTCTGGATCTCGTGTACACTACAGAAGACTTACCCACGCCACCTTTGAAAGGGGACGAGTATACCAGGGTATTAGAAGAGAAGAAGAGGTCTTTCGACAAGGAGTTTGAAGAGAAATTCCATTTGGGACAGAAAGGGTGAGAATACACAAATTACTATTTTTCCAATTTATGGTCTTCATTTGGCGACCAGTGTGGTGCAGTGGCTTGCACACTGGTTTTCACGGTAACGTCATCTCTGAGGTCCCAGGTTTGATCCCTGGCCAAGTCAATGTAGAAAATGAATTTTGTGTATTGTCTCGGGTCAAGGTGTTTGTGATACCATTGTTGTTTCCGATTTCCATGATACAAGTGCTTTATAGTCCATTTCACATAGGATGGGTGCCGTAACAGTTCAATATTTACGTTGCATGCATACTATTTTCAACTAATTTCTAGAGTTCCAGAGTCGTATCGCCCAAAGAGTAAATGAATTAGAAAGAAAACCAGTATGGTGAGAAGGAATTAAAACAGTCAATTTGCTGTCTGAGCGAAGATTGCGATTATGGGATGCACCCAAATATTTAAATTTACATTTCAAATATCCAGGTGCACATTTAGTTCTTGCCTGAATGTAAATATTATGATACGATAATGTCATGGCGATTATTGCTGCGATACTTGCTTACGATTTTTCTCCACTATGCGCAAAGCCTGCGGTAAACTCTCCATCTAAATGGGCCTTTAGAAACGTCAAATCTCAAACGTCACCGTATCCATGCTATGTGACATGGACTATAGTTACTTACTTTGGGATCAGAGCAACATGTGTAATGTTGTTTAAATATTTATTTACAGACACAAAGTAACGTTGGGTTATTAACCGTTTTTTTTTTTAAATTGATTTTCAATTGTTTTATGTGAATTTACTCCACTAAAACTCCATTCAGAAAAAAATCCTTCGAACCGACGGCTTCTAGCATACCGTGCCAGACACTATACCAACTAACGAACCAGCGGACCTCACGAATTTTTCTATATGCTTGTATTTGGTTTTTCATCGACTTTAGCCGTAGCGCCATCTATGAAATCTAAGTATTTCGTCACCCAGTTAGATACCTTTACAGCTACCAGCCCCGTTATTAACCGTTTTCAAAAACGGAGGAGGTTTTAATTCGACTGCTTTTTTTCACGTGTTTGTTGTAATTACTTCGATATTTGCGAACCGATTTCAGTGATTCTTTTTTTGTTGGAAAGGGGTTACCTTAGTACTTATACTCATTTTTCTTATACCAGGTATTCAGAAGAAGACATCAATATAGCCAAAGCAGGAATGTCTAACATGATAGGCGGTATCGGTTACTTCTATGGCGCGAGTAGAGTTCAAAGCCAGTACATAAAGGAATCCGTGCCTTATTGGCGCGCACCGTTGTATACCGCGGTACCGAGCAGGTAAGTGTTCAGTGGTTATGGTGCCCTGGTACTTTTGCTTTAATGAATTTTTTTTAACCGATTTTAAACCATGGCAATTGACGTTTCCAGGTCGTTCTTCCCGCGTGGCTTCCTTTGGGATGAGGGCTTCCACGGTCTTCTCATTGGCAGATGGAACCAGGATATACAAATGGACATCGCTGCTCATTGGCTTGATCTTATAAATGTCGAAGGATGGATTCCGCGGGAGCAGATTCTTGGTAAGTCATGTGTCTCTGGTGCCTAGTACTGCCACGTCACCTATTTCTGCCGCCAAGCAGTAAGGTGAGCATTACTGCGTTCCGGTCCATATTGCAGCGGTATAAGGTTTACTTTCTCTTCTTATAACAAAAAAATTATTACGATAAACAGAACATTGAACATTTATTAAAATTAAATAAAATAGTGCATTATTGCAGAGGTCGGAAATTAAGGGATTGCTAGACGAGTATGAGTTACAAGGACGAGCGCCAGCTAGGCCTTATATTAATACGAGTCAAGCAATCCCCGTTCCCGCCGTGGCTTGTATAGTGCTTTTCTCAAACAATGTGAGGAAATTATAAAAGATTAAAGAGAGGAAGATGTATAACAGCAAAAGTAAAAAACGAAATTAATTAATATTAAAAGTATAATATTACAAAAATATATTGTGATTTTCTATGTTCTTTGTGGTGATATTCGTGATCTCTATACTCCTGCATTCACTGTTCAAGTGTTCATCCCTAAAATTAGAGCAACCTGAAACAAATACGGAGCACGGAACGGGATTTGCTTGACTCGTATTATATATAACTCACTCGTCCAGCAATCCCTTACTTCCCGGCCTCTTCAGTAAAGTACTATAACGATGATATGATGATATGAAAACACCACCTTGAGTAATATTACAAGTTCGAGGATCATATTTGCACTACGAGACCGAGTCTAGTCGAGCGCGAGTCATCGAAGCATGGACTCGAGTCTAAAAGTTCCAAAACTCGACTGCTGTTGACGAAGCTGTTTGGAGCGTGGACTGTAGTTTGATGTTGAATTTAAAGATGTTTTGTACTGATTTAAATATTTTAATAATGTACGGAGCACACATTGTACGGTACAAGGTGTAGAAAGAGTGACCGGGTTACCATATTTCATCGAGTATATAACCAGAAATAGAGGCGAAATGTCATTTCATTTGTTTGAAAACTATTCTGCCATATGATTACTGTGACACTTGCGCTCCGATTGGCCAGCCCGAATTCGAAACAATTGACGGGTGTCGTCAACTGTTTCACTTCAAAACGACCATTAACTTGATCTTTGCTATAATGGACGAAAATTGCAAAATTACATATTTAATTACCGATGAAATGTGATTCCGTTTGTTTTGTAATTAGATGTTTTGTTGTTTTTCCTACACCACCGAATAGAACAGCACGTCATTGTTAGAGATATTATCTATATTACAATAAATACAGAATATTTTTTGGAATATACGGAGACGTACACACAGGTCAGTAGTTGGCCTATCTATATTTCAGTGCAAACGAGAGTTGATATTTATAAGAGCTGTATCGCTAATGTGTTACCAGGAACATATGGCCCTTATTTCGTCTGTATTTCTGGTTATATACTCGATGCCATATTTTAACATTACAATTTATGATAACTTTGTGTTGCCAACACAGGCGACTTCTACTCTTATAAAGTCACGAGTACGACAAGCAGAGTTAAATGTTACTGTACGACTGCTATTGCCCACGAATTAAATATAAAACAAAAACAACACAGTGATTTAAAAAAGAAGAAGATAGTAATACTTAATTGTACCAAATTAATTATACTACAGTTTAACAAACCATAACACCGCTCAGTAAGTATTTACTAGACTCGCGTTCGACTTGTTACATGAACAGACTCCAGCGCGAGTCGTTAGACTCGACCACTAATGTCGAAGTCGAGTCTATTCGAAAACTCTATATGCTCGTAATACATCGAGCAGTATCTGTCTTTATACTCATAAAGGCAGATACAGACACGAGTCTTGTGAATTAAAGGGTAGTCCTAAGATTCCTAGAGTCTCGAGTTTTTTACAACACTAGCACGTTCTGTGGTTCTGACATCCAATTTTACGTTCCAGGACCAGAAGCTCTAGCCCGAGTTCCAAAAGAGTTCGTAGTGCAAAGTAACGCGGCTGCAAACCCGCCGATGCTCCTCATACAGTTGGCCAGATTCGTCAAGATCCGACCGAAAATGTTTGAACCACATTCGCCGTATAGAGCTATGCTCGATCGCATGTTCCCGAGGTTACAGGTAGGTTATCTTTAACTTTCAACCTTGTAACAACTACATAGGGGTGATTTTTTTAATAATTATAAAAATAGGACAAAACAGGGGAATAAAAAAATTACTTTGTAACAAATCTATTTTATACCATATACTTAGGCAGGGAATTCCACTCCATAGTACGTTTTGTTAAATCCTTGAAATGTCCACAACATAGGGGTGAATACCCAGCCATCTGGTCCTCCGACGATGGAAAGGGGAAGGTCTCCTTGATATATCCTGTAGAATACCGACAAGCAGGTAACTTTAAGTGTTCAAGGCTTTGCAGCTACGCCTCTACTAATTCCGAGTCACCTACAAGCCTCTCACCACGCTTGTCAACTTTTTTTAACCGACTTCAAAAAGGGAGGAGGTTCTTAGTTCGACTGTTTTTTTGCATTTATGTTACGCGATAATTCTTGTGAACCGATATTGATGATTCTTTTTTGTTGGAAAGAGTGGTCACGCACACAGTGGTGGCCATTTAAATTTGAACAACATATTCCAAACTAGGGGATGAATGACTTTTGAGAAACTTTTGAAAACTTTCATTGTCATTCTTCACTTACAGGCGTGGTACCAGTGGTTCCAGAACACGCAGAAAGGCGAAGAACCCACGTCGTACAGATGGCGTGGTAGAGAAGACGACGGATTACAACTGAACCCTAAAACTTTAACTTCAGGCATTGACGACTATCCAAGGTGAGATACTTCATTTTTATGATAGCCTGGTACTTTTTTCTATATACAAAAAATTGTGTTGCGTAGGTCCCATCTGTAGACTCTAACTACACTCAAACTAATTTTCTCAATCATACTCGGAAATGTTTGCATTACTTTCAAAAAAAGAACCCATAATAGTACATTGTGTAATAAGGACGCTAAATAAGAAATTACCATCGAGTATATAACCAGAAATAGAGAGGAAATGTCATTTAATTTGTTTGAAAACTATTCTGCCAAATCATTACTGTGACAACTGCGCTCAGATTGGCCAGCCCGAATTCGAAACAATTGACGGGTGTCGTCAATTATTTCAATTTAACAGTTTGACTTGAGCTTTGCTATAATGGACTAAAATTGTAAAATTACATATTTAATATTTAATTACCGATGAAATGTGATTCCGTTTGTTTTGTAATTAGATGTTTTGCTGTTTTTCCCACACCACCGAATAGAACAGTACGTCATTGTTAGAGATATTATCTTTAGTACAATAAATGCATAATATTTTTTGGAATATACGGAGACATACACACAGGTCAGTCGTTGGCCTCTCTATATGTCAGTGCAAACGGGAGTTGATATTTATAAGACCTGTATCGCTAATGTGTTACCAGGAATATATGGCCCTTATTTCGTCTCTATTTCTGGTTATATACTCGATGGAAATTACCAACGATGAACAGTTAATATTAAAATCGAATTTGAAGTTATTATTAAGAAATAGTAGCGCTTTCACAGATAAGTAATTTATTCTAACAAAACAGTTTACCTTTATGCTGGTTATTATTTATAGACTGTGCGACTTCTTGCCGCCTAAGGTCTGCAATTACAATTTACAATTAGCCTGATGTATCCCACTGCTGGGCAAAGGCCTACTCCTGACCTCTATTACTGTCCGCTGCTCTGAACTTTTAAATCTTATATATTTTTTATCTTAATTATAACAATGAACTATGTAAACAGGCTAAAGAAAAATTCATACAGTCAATTGCCAAGTGTTAGTAATGCGAGAATGAAAAATATCTGTACCGCATTTTTTTTTAAATATGCGGCCGGTAAAATAAAGTAAATGATTTGGTATTCATTTATTATTTTTTCACTTCTCATACTCTAAAAGTACGTCAATATAGACTTAAGTAGCGGGAGTAAAGTCCATTTTTAATCCCTAGGGAGTAAAAAGTACCTATTTTTTTAATTTACTTCGAGTGAACAAACTCAAACAGCCAGTAGTGCGCTCGGTTTTAGTTCTGTACCTTTTCAGCGTAGACGGTGGCGCCATATTATTTTCCCACGTTAGTGCGTTTATTGTATCTGGGTCTGGTTGGAAAAAAACAAACCGCGAAACATTGACTTACAAATAAATGGACGACGGGTCTAATACACAAACCACGAAAAAAATGTGCCAAGTCAACCTATTTAAACGTAGTGACATGTAAAGGAATATGAAAAGGCTAAAACGTTGAATTTAAATTGTAATGTCATCGCAGTACTGTCTAATTTTGCTTGCTTCGCTGTCAGTCGAACAAACGAAGACTAAAGCGTGAATGACGCTCTGTATACGATTTTAACGCCCTATAAGTTCGGACACTTTTTAGCGCGGACCCGACGTCCATATAATTGTAAGTCAATGCCGCGAAAATTTCAAAATTTAGTTCGTAATTTTGTTCTAGAGCGAAAACGATTGAATTGTTTTTTTCTCGCAATCGAAGTGAAAAGTAAAGTTTTCACCTCGAGACATCCTCGGTTAGACACCATCGCTAAAGATCGGGTGTCTAACCACCTAGGGTATATACATATTGCTGCATTGTAGTCCCTCGATAAAAAATATACTATTTCATCTGTTTTGGATTTTCGTCGTGAAAACGAGTTCTAGGAAGAAAAGCGATAACGAAAATACAGTAATGGATACACATTCAACCAAATCATCATACTATTATTAATGTGACTGGAAAAACAATAACGTTTATCTTTTAGCAATTGTCCTAAGATATTTTTTTTACTTTTTCCGTTATGCGTCTTCTTCTGTTTACTCTTATTTTATTATTTCCTCGCTATTTTTGAGCAAAGCACTTTATAAACCTCGGCGGCAACGAGGTATGCGTGACTCTTGCCGGCCTCTGCTATATTGTACTATAAAAGTTTAGATCAGCGGACAGTAATGGATTTTCATACTTCCTTTACAGGCCTTGGCCGGGAAGAAGTCGCACGTCCCATAAATGACAAACTTCCCGTGTCCGTTTTTTGAAAGTAATGCAGACATTTCCGAGCGTGTTCGAGAAAATTACACTTGATATCATAAAAAAACTTCCTTCTAGAGCATCTCACCCCACGGATATAGAGCGCCACGTCGATCTTAGATGCTGGATGTACGCTGCAGCCGACGCTATGACCATTATAGCTAACGCATTGGGACGTGACTCCGACAAGTAAGTAACGTTTTGGTTTATTTTCCTAGTACTTCAACATCTAGAGATATAGAGTTTATATATAGAGTTTTCGCCAAACTGGTCTCCAAAGTCTCCCTTTTATGTTTCGACTCACGTCATCACTGTGACAATGAAGTAAGAGTTTGTGTAAAAGAAGAAGCTATACTTCGCATCATGTAACTTGTCAACCTCTGATTATAACTATAGTCTGTCTTTTTTGAAGAGACTAAAGGAGATTCGCTCTGGACCTTTTGGAGGGAAAAGTGTCGTTTTTATTTTGACTTTCAATTATTTTGTGAAATCTAGTTTAAAGTGGAATAGGATAGTGCTATTGTGCCTTAATCGAAGATTAAAACGCGAAATTATAAGAATCTCGAACTAAAATATCCGTATCGGCCCGTTTTAAGGAATCCCGAGTCAATCCAAGCGCGTCGCCTCAAATTGCCTATCCTCTTTGTCGCGGCCATATTTACAGAAACATAATTAAACTTCATGTTTAGGCTGATGGCTTTGCCAGAGCCTTAGTTAATTAAAAAAAAAAGAGACTAAAGTCACATTTGTAGGGTTGCCAGTTTATATAAAACTTTAAATAGTTATGTAGTTGTTGTCGATAGTTTTGACGATAGATTGCGAAAGAAGATAAAATATTGCCAAAAATTACTGCATTGTGAATGTTACGACGTTCTAATGATTACTAAATTGCGTTATTGCCTTCTTTATTCTTATTTTGACAGTTAATAATAATAAATAAATAAATAACGCACACACTCAACATAGCCCCGCACTAGGGAAACCCTGTGTCGCGGGTGCCATGGACACACACATAGACAACTACAAATTACATCCAAACTCACGAGAGATATAATTGTAGGCCATACAACTATTTCTCTCGGCCCGGGAATCGAACCTGGGACCTCTGCGTGGCAGTCCGGCATGGTAACCGTTCGGCCACGGAGGCAGTTGGCCTACTAGTATCTAGATTCTAGATCAATTTTTATTCATGTACATTTTAATAAGAATAGCCGGACTTGATTATTTATATTGAATTAAAATGGGTATCTTTAAAATATATCCTCTTTGTATTTTTCATAAACATAATTGTGAATACAGTGTATGTATGTATGAACTTACAAAAATTGACAATTCAAATTAATTTGTGCTCAGTAATTGGATGAATGGGTCGAGGATGATTTAAATGAAACAAGTAAACTATTTATTACATAAGCGTGACCAACATTCAGTCCGATAGTCGATAGAATGTTTATCGACTGGAATCACTAGCTGCTCGCGAGTGGGCAACACTTCGACTTGAAAACAGACAGATTTTACTTTGTATTTGCAGATTCGCAGCAACGAGAGACCAGCTCGGAGACGAGGAGCTACTCAACGAATTGCATTGGTCTCCTCATACGTTGACTTATGCCGACTATGGTAAGTTTTTATACTTTATTTATGAATTTACTTATATAATCGAGGTGATTTCTCAATGAATTCTTGTGGATGTTTTGGGAAAAAGACTTTTCAACAAAATAATATACTGTACCGTATTAACCATACGTCGCACAGCAGAGCATGGGTAGTTCTAAAGAGCCAGTAGAGCTTGTGAAACAGTTCGTCCTTGGAAGTACTGCCACCTTACCTATTTCTGTAATGTGGGCATTACTGCATTTGGGTTTTGAAGGGTAAAGAAGGTGCTAGTGAAATTACAGGCACATGGGACTTGTCAACTTATGTCTCAAAGTGTCGGGCGCAGAAGCAGTGCCCCTCAGATCTTTTGCGATTTAAAGCTCCGAGTGGCACTGCAACTGTTACCAGATGCACGACTTGTTCGTACCGTCACTTAGTAACATAAAAAAAATAAATTGACAATAGTTCTGTTTCCTGGGATGTTTTCTGTACAATGCACTCCACCGTGAACTAAACATCTTTCAACTAAATAAGTTCGAATGTAAAAAGAAGTTGGCAAACTGGCTGCAAGAATTGAATTACGATAAAACTGAAGCTTTGCTTCATCCGATTGCATGACTCAAGGACCTATTTATTTATTTATTTTTGGAGCTTTGGGTAGAGTAGGATCTCTATATGTATATATACATATATCCGTAACTACGCACACACACACATACACAAACACACACATAATACAACACGCACTCATAGTCAAATATCTTTTACGTGCAAAAAAGTTTTTAAATTTAATTTTAATTTAAGTTTGATCTTTTAGGTGTATATAGTTCAATAATGTCAAATGTATTTTTTCACTATTTAAATGTTTTTCCTTTATAAACAATTAATCTTAGTAATACCTTAAGATTGTCATGTGTCATTTCCAAGGGTGAGAGCCTGGTGACTTGTAGTACAGGCGTTAAGCCTTTAACAAGCACCAGCTCCCAAAAATAAGTTATTGCATGTATCTTAAATTACTAAGAACTATATGTACGTATTTTTGTGGAGGAATAAATATTATTAGTTTATGCTATTCGGGATATACACGTATTTGAAAAGAATGTTGAACTACCCTTATTCATGTTTCCGGGCAAATATTTGTAATAACAAAAATTTTAGACTCCGGTTCAGAGGCCTCATTTTAATGTGTAATAACGTAACGTTTATAATATTGTGACAGGTCTTCACACGGACGCTGTCCGTCTCGTGCGACAAATGCCAAAAAACCCAAACGAACAACCTCGTGTGGGACGAAGCGTCCAGGCGCCACCGCAACCGAAGTTGGTCACTTCTGCCTTTGGTAAGTTCTTTCTTTTTTTTCTATCAAATACATTGACTTACAAATACATGGACGACGGGCCTAATACAAAAACCACGAAAAAAATGTCCCAAGTCAACCTATTTAAACGTAGTGACATGTAAAGGAATATGAAAAAGCTAAAACGTTGAATTTAAATTGTCCTGTCATCGCAGTACTGTCTAATTTTGCTTGCTTCGCTGTCAGTCGAACAAACGAAGACTAAAGCGTGAATGACGCTCTGTATACGATTTTAACCCCCTATAAGTTCGGACACTTTTTAGCGCGGACCTGACGTCCATATAATTGTAAGTCAGTGATCAAATATCATTATGGTTTTATTATAATTCATATATTTTTTGTGTAATTGTGACAAATAATCACACAAACATCCCACATCTCACCTTCTTAATGGCACTCATCGAGTATATTAACAGAAATAGAAACGAAATAAGAGCCATCCATCCCTGGCAACTCATCAGGCAAATTAGCCTTATATCACTGTTAAATATCAGCTCTCGTTTGCGCTGAAATCACAAATTAGAAAGCTGAAATAGTACAGCACAACAACTGACCTGTGTGTACACCTCCGTATATTCCAAAAATATTCTGTATTTATTGTAATAAAGGTAATAATATCTCTAACAATGGCGGGCTGTTCGATTCGGTGGCGTGGGAAAAACTGCAAAACATTTAATTACAAAATAAACGGAATCACATTTCATCGGTATTTAAATATGTAATTTTTCAATTTATTTGTAAGTCAATGTTATTACTCCTTATATTTTCCTTATATATATTATATTATAAATGTTCTTACATTTTATGACGGCACTTGACATGGCTACTTGTATTCGTTAATAGGGGTCGTATTCCAGAGCTCTACTCAATGCTCAAGTCAGGACTTGAGTTTTGCAGTGAGCACTGAAAATCATACTCAAGTCCTTGCCATTATTAGGGTCGTATTTCCAGTGCTTGAAATCATACTCAAGTCTGCTCAAATCCTGACTTGAGCATTGAGTAGAGTTCTGGAATACGACCCTAAGTATTTGATCAACTTGGAAAAATATTTGACGTACAGACAAATATGCAAACACACGTTTACACACATGGCGACATTTTGTAGCGATGCGAACGCGCGACTGCATCGATACAAAACTGCCTCCTTTGTCGAACGGAGCAAAAACTTAATTTGAAACAATACAAAATTTCAATATTGATTGATCGTAGTTTCAAATTTAAAAAGGAATAACAAATTTACGATTGTTAATATATTTTAAACTTTACCCTGTTGTTCTTATTGTTGAAAGTTCAAATACAATCAATACCTATTCTTGCAAGTTACGACGTTCTGATGTTATATTGAAATTTCAATCAATTTACTGCCATCTAGCGATAAATTGCTGAACAACGACGAATTCTCCAAAAACGAAGCGACCATATTGAAGGCTTTACTTTAGTTTCTTGTAACAAAAACATTATTTCGATAAACATAAAATTGAAATTTTAACTTTTCCGATGATACGATATACTACCACGGGTAATAAATTTGTGCGAGTATCATTTTTGCACTGTGAAACAGCACAAAAAGGCATTTATCGACGATTTTAGAGAATTTGCATGATAGAATGACACAGCGATACCATGCAAAGCGAAAATGGCGGAACCATGTCCGGAGATTCTTAAGCCACGAAGTACGCCTTCTTCCAGGTGGTCGCTTTCCCTGTATCTTGCATAATTAGTCGGCATAGGTCGTGTTTACGACCAAAGTATTGTAGTTTGCGTTTTTTGACAGTACTCAAGATATCTAATTTCTTATTAACCATCTGCAATACTCTTTCATTGGACACTCTATCCGACCACGATATTTGTAAAATTCTTCTCTAGACCCACATTTCAAAGGCCGCTTAGAAAAACGGTTGCTCATGTTTTGAGTTACGGTCCAGGACTCTACGCCATACAGACGTTAATTAGGATGCATTACTTTCAGAATAGTCAAAAGCCAGTGTGTGTTAAATCTGCCTGCAAAGGACAATGGAAAACTCCCATATAAATTTTTAGTGACGTAATTTGTATGCGTCTGTTTATGAAAAAATATGTGAAAATATAGAGTAGAAATTCCTAAACACATTTTGTTTTGGGTTTACTATTCTGAGAAGTCAGGAATCAAAGAATTCCAGCTTGAAGTTTTGAAGGTTATGTGTTACGTAATTGAATAAAATATATTCGGTGTAGAGGTGGGTGATAAATGACGTCACGATGAAAAAATCACGATAATCCGCCGTCAAACAGTATCACCGTGCCTCGTTCCGAAGGAACGACGTTCCAAAGTCACAGTTCCTCCGTTCCAATAGCTATTCCCGTCATTCACATCACAACATACGTATTTGATACAATGCGCGATCTCCGTTCCGTGGTGACTGAGCGCGCCACTCGTAGTTCTCTTCAAATCGGGCCATTTCGGCAATGGGAGTGAATGAAATAGGATGACTTTCTTTGCTCACTCACAAGTGTCGTAGGTGCTTATTACTACTAGAAAGGGCGGATGAAAAAAATATGCGGCAGTTATTGTAAACCTATTTATGAACAAAGTAAAATATTTTTGTATAGGTGAATGTTTTATTATGGGAAGAATTGATATTTTAAATTTATGTATAATCTACGTTGTGTATTCTACTAGAAATATAATTACATTACACTTTATTGCTATTTTTAGCAATCCAAAGATTCACATTAAATAAGTAACAAACAAAATTACATTAAATACAAAATCAACTTTCTAAATGGAATCGAAACTTAATACAAAGGGAGTAAAAACTTAAATCATTCTATAAAAAACGGTTATAAGTATTAGAAAGAAGCCGCTGGCTAAAACCGTATATCGTGATGTAAGTTATAGGCGTGACAAGGTCACGGAAGTAACGGTCGTGACAAAATCACAGTGATTTATCACCGTGATTTTTTTGGAACCGGATCGACAGTCACGGCGATAGAAATGTAACGCTATTCCCCATGTCTAATTCGGTGTATTATTATATCAAAATAAACTACAGAAGCCTTAAACAGAGACAAGCCGAATGGTGCTGTGGGTTTGTGATGTGACGAAAAATCAGGGATTTTTTTTTTATGTCTGATATGGTCAAAAGGCATGGAGTTAAGCCAGAACAAAAAAACTTTCTCGCGTGGCATTTTGGAGAAGAAATTATCGATTTTATTTTTTGTAATGAAGTAGTTAATTTTTTATTAGCTTATTACAAATCGGTCGAATCAGTATTACGTGAACTAAATGTGGACCATATCCGTATGTAGGTACTGAAATTCCTTTTTTGGCTGCTAGATGTCGCTCAACTATAAAAAATTAAGAGACTGACAGTTGAAGATATCAGTCCAGTTACATACTAATTAGTCATTTCTTTTAAATATGATTTTATTTCCAGACTTATATAGGCCGGTATTATAATTTAAAAATCCTAATGAATTTATTTTATTCAAACTTGTAATTAAGACACTCGAAGACGCTAACGAGCTATTTTAACTATGTATTTGCCATTGTTCTTTGTATATCCAAACCTTTATTATGCAAATAATTATATTTATGCAAATTTTTTTGCATTTCAGTAATTTTGTGCTTTAAGATTTTGAGAAAGTAAAACGACGATTTGTAGTTTAATAAGCAGACGCTGTTTTTTAATTTCTTTAATTTCGTCTTTTCAGGCTACGTCTCTCTATTTCCGATGTTGCTAAAAGTGCTTAAGCCTGAAAGCGACAGGCTGGGCATGATTTTAGACAAACTCGACAAACCTGATTTATTGTGGTCACCGTTTGGACTTAGGTAAGAAAATAAAAAAATACCTTACTGGCTTGTGCTGTGCCGTCGTGCCAGTATCACGGAAATAAAATAGACTACTCCGGTCCACATAAATTTATTGTACAGTCAGAAGAAAAGGTAAACAATTTTTTTTTTATTTACCACACATTTCAACAGCATTATCAAGTACATACAGTATTGTAAAAAACCATAAATGTATGGGTAGCGCGATAGGCCGCGACTTACGCGAGAGCGACATATGACGCGAGATCTCTATACGAGAATGGCAGCATCTCGCGTTGTATATCGCTCTCGTGAAAGTCGCGCGTTTGATTCTGCCTTCATATCTGACTCCTTCACCTATAATTATTAATATAATTTAAATAATAATATGTAATATATAATTTATTAATACAATAATTTGCCGCTTTCGTGAATTTCGTTTTTCTTAAAGGTTGACTGGTAGAGAATTCTTTTAGCATTAAGTCCGCCTTTTGTACCATTATGTCTTGTGGTCAATAAACTTTAATAAATAAAATAAATAAACAAGAGGAGAGGAAAGGGAAACAGGCTGTAACAAAAAAAAAACAATATAAAAACAGGTACAACAGTATAAAACACTCTTACTACGCATTAACAAACAGTCCAGACACTTACCCCAAAAGGGCCTGTATACATATACATACCCAATGCTTTAAAACAGTTATGTGACAGAAAAAAATCTATCGATCCGGCCGGATTCCAACCGACGACTTCTAGCAAACCGTGGCAGACCCTAAGCCAACTAAGCCACGGAACGAACCGGCGTACCTAAGAAATTGTTGTATGTGCTTGTTGCAGATCTTCGTTTTTTGTTTTTAACGACTTTTTATGTTAGAGTGAAGAAATAAATTTCTCACATTTGCGCTACAGCACTACGATAACACTTAGAAAAAGTGTTCGACCTTTGTTATTGAATATTCGGCCAAACTATTCGGCCTGATTAATGACCTTACGAAAATTGTCATTATAGCAAAGATAGCTATACATACATATATATAAGTTAAATTAAATTAAACTGGTAGTGATTCATGATTTAGTAAAAAGAAACAAAAAAGGATATTTAATTTTCAAGTTTATAATTCAAATTTATGACATTTTAATGAAGAAAGTATTGTTTATTTCACTTCAGTTTGATTAACTTTCAAAAACTTAATTTTATTTTCATTTTTGCAAATAATAAGTACCGGGTTGATGTTGTTAGCGCTGTAAGATTTAGTCATGATTTCGTGACAAAATTACATAATAAGTAGGTAATGTAATATATTATTATTATTATTATTAATGTTAATTTGATTTGGTACCTTTTTTTGGTCTCATAGAAGTTACTATTTGTGATAATTTACTGCATTTTCTTATTTCTGCCTCCCGTTTTTAGGTATTTGGCCGAATAGTGATGTAATATTCGGTATTCGGCCGAATAGCATAAAATAGGCCGAATGAGCCGAATACCGAATAGTAACCGAGTATTCGTTGCAACTCTAGTGTATACTTATTTGAAACTCCTCACTCTGTATACCCAACAGTGGAATTATATATTTATATCCTTCAGTAATAATCATAAATCTATCCCAAGTACCAGGAGATCATAAACAACGATTATTGCTGCAGGTCGCTTTCGAAATCGTCGCCTCTATACATGAAGAGAAACACTGAACACGACCCTCCGTATTGGAGAGGACAGATATGGTTGAACATTAACTATCTCGCTCTCTCTGCTTTGAAGCACTATTCGAGTATGGACGGGCCGCATGCCGCAAGAGCGAGAGATCTTCATGCAAAACTGAGCTCCAATGTCGTTAGTAAGTAAAACCCTTTTCTAAAGGTGCCGTTCTAATTTGAAATTTACAGGAAGGAAAACAAACCTTACAACATCAAGTGACGTGACGAAGTAGCAATGCGTCTCATGATAAGCTACATGCCTGTCCATAACAGTTGCAGTGCCACTCAGAGCTTTAAATTGCAAAGATCTGAGAAACACTGCTACTGCATCCGTCACCCTGAGATATAAGTTGGCAAGCCCCGTGTGCCTGTAATTTCTACTGCCTGTAATGTTGACATTACGGCTTGGCGGCAGAAATAGGTAAGGTTACTTCAAAAAAGGAAATTTCAATAATTTTGTTAACGTGCTGCCATCTTGCGGCCACTAGACTGGACTACGACTGACGACTAACATCTGAACGAATAGAAAGTAGTATCTTCACGACAACAGATGTCTTCTTTGCACAATGAATTTTATTTCGATCAATTAAGTTTCAAATTAGCAAAATTGAGTGTTTTTACTGTTACTAAGTCATAATTTTAAGTCGCACTAAATCTTGCTGGATTCCTATTTTATATATTTTTTTATTTTATTTATTTATTTGTTTCAGGACACATGACCCATATAATATATACCTTAAGGACTAAAATACATACAATATAATAAAACTCTATTACTAACTAGTCTACACGAATTGCCTTGTCGGCGACGTGTGGCGCAATCTGGTGTCAGTTAACGGAATCGCTGATACATGACACCCTTCGCCAAAACTCTTCCTTCTTGGCGGGACTCCAACCGCTCGATCTTCAGGGTGTAGGGTGTTTCTCCTCCTCTTCTCCGCCTTTGTGAAGCCGTCCTCGTCGCACAGATCCGTCTGCCTCTGTGATTTTGCAACTTCAGAGACAGCTGTACTGCGGTATGGTGTCGCCCACACCGCGTCTCCCATATCGTCACAAAAAAAAGAAATTATCCCATGTGCAGCGTGGCGTAACAGCACCTCGCAGCTACGTAATTGATGTGGTTGTTTGGTATTTTTATTACAATTACCTTTTCTTTTCAGGCAACGTCCTCAACGAATACAAACGTACAGGATATTTGTGGGAACAATACTCGGGCGAGGACGGGAAGGGATCTGGATGTCGTCCGTTCAACGGCTGGACAGCTTTGGTAGCCCTTATCATGGCCGAAGAATACTGAAGGAATATCCCTAAGTTTTATGAGCTCCTGGGAGTTGTGATTCGTAATACGTTAAAATATTTCTTGTTTTCAAGGTCAAATCGTACTTAAAACTATGGTTTATATAAGACAAGTTTTCGCTAGGAGCGTAGGGCTATCACCACGGAAGAATAAAAACAATGGAAGTGCTTTAAGTCTCGATTACTATTAGAACCGCTGTCGCCAGAACGCACACAAACAAAATGATAAACTCTATGAAATCTTGATAAAGATTGGTCCTACTTTCTAATGTATTTTTTATTTTTTTTATAATATTAAGTGACGGGACGAACAAGGCGTGCGTCTGATGGTAAGCTACACGCCTGTCCATAACAGTTGCAGTGTCCATGGGACAAGTCCCATACGCCTGTAATTTCACAAGCAACTTTACCCTTCAAAACCGGAACACAGTAATGCTGACATTACTGCTTGGCGGCAGAAATTGGTAAGGTGGCAGTACTACCCTGGATGAATTCTTTCACAAGCTCTACCAGTACTCGTTATATCGTTGAAAATTCAATACCTTTGTTAACCTGCTGCCATCTTGCGGCCAGTAGCTAGACTACGACGAACGACTAACGAATATAAAGTAGTATCTTCTAGACAACAGATGTCTTCTTTAGCGCACACATTGCGTAATGTACTTTATTTCGATCGATTAAGTTTAAAAGTAACAAAACAATCATGAAGAATTTTTTCGCAAAACTTTTGTTCGTGGAAAACTGGAGATGTTTACTTAGTTCCCCAAAAGATAAATTTCCACCATATTGCACTGGGATAATGTTTACTTTCGTTTGATAAAGTAGAAAAAATCAGTTCGATAAACAGAAAATGGAAAATTTATTAATAAATTAAGACTTACCAATGATAAGAAATACCACCACGGATAATATTTTTGGACTCCAAATCAGCACAATAAGGCATTTTTCTACGTTTTTGAGAATTGACTCAACCATACCGTACAAAGCGAAAATGGCGGACTAGGCTCAAGTAGGCCTAATGAGGCCCACTGTTGGAACGCGTACGACACTAACTAACCACTTCTGCTGTATTTATTGTTCTGTGGCAATTCCCATACTTGTCTTTTTTATACTATGCTTGTACGCTGTGTCCGGTGACGTCATCGGCGTTTTAATATTATTTTGTATTTACAAAAGTACCTATTTTATGTATGTAGTGTTTATGGACTCCTAGTGCTATTATTACGCGGATATGTTAAAAAATCCATGTTAAGCCTTAGTTAGGCAGATTATTTCATTAATCGAGCTGTGAAAATATTTATTTATTTAAGCGTGGCACACACAATAAGCGGGTGCGGGTCGGGCGCGATTCAGGTCGGGGCCGCGGCGGGTCTTATTCCGTGTATTTATATGAACGGGAGGGCAGGCGCGGGACTAGCGCTCGGTGTGTCGGTCCCAACCCGACCCGCACCCGCTTTGTGTGTTTCTGAGCTGTGTGTGTAATGTTTTTGGGCGTAAACCGGTGAACCGGAAGGCAGAGAGCGTTAAATTTATTAATGTATAATTGATGCTGTTACAATTGTAATAAGGTACAAATTTCAATGCTCGGAGACGCGGAGATAAATGCACCGCGGTGCTCCGATGTCGGTCGCAAGATTATTGCAATTTGTTTCATCTGAAATAGCAAGAAACATGCAAAATTATTTGTAAAATATTAACAACCTCTCAGGACTATATTACTAAACTCCATCCAACCATTTATTTAACTTTTGACATTTCTCCAAAGTTCCGTAATTATTGACATACAACCTTAGACAAAAAATGCAATATTTTCTGTACTCTTTTATTTTTAAATTTTAGTGAAGCGACGTGCTCTTTAGCTCCAATATTTATCGAGCCAACATAACATAAGTAACGGAGATTATTCGAGTTGATAAATTTTGTTACTTGTCTAACAAATTATAATGAATTGAAACAAATTATAAATAATCATAATAAATTCTTATTGTTTATTATAATGAGTCGTCGGATTCTTCTCCATATGAACGGGAATCATCATTTGAATCCTCAGTAACATTAATTATTAATTCTTGAGGACACAAATTGGACATAGTTATGCAAACTAGAACCAACCCACAAAATGTCACTATCGAGATAATTCGATTTTTGTGAAAACAGTATGAAGAAATAAATAGGTAAGTTATTTGAGACAAACGTGAGTTATGTATATCATTGAGAATGATATAGGGAAACTTATATTATATTTTATAGCAATAAACAAAACACATTATGTATCTTTTTATTTACTTAACGAGAACCATGTTCTAGTTTTCGTAATGAAAATGCTAAAGATCTACAGTACTTCAGTACAAGTGACATGGATCCATTTAGCGTATTTGAAAAAATACATTATATGAAGTTAAGTAGGATGGTTCTTTTTAGCTATTAAAAAGTTACTTATTTAGGGTTGGTACCCTGAAGGACTTTTATTTTCTCCGTTATGGCTTGGTATATTTCCAGGATCATTTGTGAGCGGGTAAAGGACACGACTGTTGTTCTACCTAAATACATAACTCAATTTCACTCGAGGTGTGGGTTGGTTCTTGTTTGCATAACTATGTCCAATTGTCAAACGCAACATCACGATCCCAATCAGACAATATCTTCTTTTTTGAACCCACTCATATTTACGATTAAAACATTTTCATAAATAAAATTATTTTTTATAAAAAATCGATCGGAAACGCATTAGGACATCACTAATTGATCGGAATTGAAAACCTGTCAAAAGTTAAATACATGATTGGACGGACTGTAACATCATAAACAATAACAGTTGCAGTGCCACTCAGAGCTTTAAATCGCAAAGATGTTAGGGGCACTGCCACTGCGCTCGACACCCTGAGACAAGTTGACAAGTCCCACGTGCCTGTAGTTTCACCAGCACCCTTACCCTTCAAAACCGGAACACAGTAATGCTTAAATTACTGCTTGGCGGCAGAAGGTAATGCAGCAGAACTAAAAGTACGTAATTATGTTATATTTTGATACTATTTTCATTTCTAAAAAAGATTTAAAAGAACATGAAAACAACGTCCAAATACAAAATAATTATGTATTTTAGCACCATTTAAAGTAATATTGTAGAGAAAACATAATAACTATAGGGTTACACCTACCCTTGCATAATTTTCCGAAAAATTTCGAATAGTGGATGTTTTTCCCGAAAAATTTGAAAAATATAATTTCGGAGGCTCGTATTATGTTCTACGTTTATAAATATCTTTTGAAGTTTTATTTAGTTTAAATGATAAAATAAACTTGTATAACTAAAACCTACATAGAGGCAAACGAGATTTAGAATGATTTTAATGTCCATCGTTTTTGTTCAGTGACTTCAACTTTTGACAGGTGTTATTTATGGCATTTTTTCAAAATGGAAATTTTTCCATGGCCCAACACTAGTTACACCACTTTTGCGTTGATAGCCCCAATTTATGAATGCTCTTTAATTATGCAATCCAATTAATTGCAAGCTAAATTATAATAGTTTACTCATTGAAACAAGGACCGGTGGCTCCACCATCTAAATGGGAACATAAGTACTTGAAATTCCTACTGGACCTACTAGTGGAACCAAGCAGTAGGACCAAGAGTCTGTAAGATTTGTTTTAAGGTGAAAGCGCATTTACCTGCTCTGTTATGACGTCGTCGGCGTTTTAAATTAAAATTATATAAAGCTGAAAATGTCATTAAATAACCTAATGCACAAATGATGGTATAACTATGAAGCTGTGGTGTAGAAGGTTCTAAAATCTCTCACTAGATAATATATTCGTGAAAGTAGCAAATAGCAATTTTTGGTAATACATAGTTCTAGAAAATCTGCTCCCTTCATGAATAAAGTTATTATTTTTTTTTATTTCGCAGAATATATCAAAGGTAGCAACTCTTGCATGTACACTCAATGCCAGATGTCACAGGCGACCAGCCATCCTGACGGTCACAACATAAAACACGTACGAGAATTTCGACAACTCGATAACTTGACCCGTAACTCAGTCGGTAAGAGGAATACTACGGTGCAGTATGGTCGTGGGTTCAAGTCCCATCGGGTCGAAAAAGTTTTTCTATGCGTTCGATCTTTATATTAATAATAATAATCATGATGGTTTAACTACAGCTAACTACAATGTCACATTGTTATTATGGATAGTTTTACTTACAATAAACCAAAATTTCTAATTGTTATTTTATGTCTGGCTCGCTTATTGATGCGGAATCTTCTTAAAAGTGGTCCAAATCAGGTAGGACCCAGGTAAAACAGACCCCGTGGTCCTCAATTTAAATAAACTCACACTTTGAAAAGTTTTTGTGTCAGTCACACAAACATCATAATAACTACATATAAAGTGCGCAATCTTGAAATGCAAAAATAAATAGATACGCACGATTGTGCAAATCTAAACACGAATTGCTTGTGGATATGATTGAATTTGCAGTGTTTTGTTTCGAAACCGTTTTACTGGTACATTTGATATTCTACTTTGTAAGAAGTGACTGATGCCAACGGAGAATTGTTTTGGACGTTGTGTTATTTTCGGTTAAATTTCATATTTTTGGTGATTTTTTTATCGAAATGTGTACTTAGTATAAATATTATTTAGGGCAACCTATCGCAAACTCGATTTTTTTCCGAAATATCGTTTGTTCGAATTTTCATTACACCGAAAACCGAATTATAACGAAACCGTTGTTCTTTCACGATATGTTGGATATTTATCGCAAAGACACGATTAGGTTCGGTTAGGTTAAGTTAGGTTTTAAAAAAAAACATTTTCCTCTCATAATTACTTTCCAGGTTATGAAAATTCGAGCTAATGTTATTTCTGGAAAATGTCATTTCGGACTGCAGATAGGTAATCATTATTTAGGTGTTCTCGGTTGCGTTATTTGGAAATTAAACTAAAAATCATTGACTAATAACCAAAAAAGACTGCTAATCTCCACACTACAGATCGTATCTCTGAAGAAGGTATAATATAAAGATATAATAATTCAGTTTTATATCTAAAAGGCGCTGGCTGATCAATGGCGTCTGGAAGTAGGTTTTCTGAAAGTAGACATTATGTAAATGGCCGTCAATGATTTTTTTTTATATTTAACACGTTCATCGCCGTGGGGGGTTAAAATTACCGGCACGACGCAAACGCTACGTATTTAGCCATATAACATCGTGGCCCTGACGAGCTGCTGTTGCCACTTGGTTTTTAGGA